CTATGGAACACATTGTACCGGACAAGCTTGAATTTGAACCCAAGACCATCAACTTGAAATTTCACTCTCTCCACCAGCCCAGTGTTTTCTGTTTTGTTTTTTTTTTTTTTCTATAAAGTATTGTCTTCAAGTGAAATCTTACATAGACCACTAATCGGCACACTATCTCTCTCAAACTGTAGGTGGTATGCTAATATAAACATTTTATTTGTTTGAACTTTTGCCATTCATTTAATGGATAAAACCCAAGAGCCATTTCAGACCGTTAGAGTTTTCTGTAAGCCTCGGCATTCATTTTAAGTCTTGCTTTCATTGGATGGAATTAAACAAACTCCTTTTCTATGCAGATAAGTCATTGCAAAGGATTAGCAGTTCTCAGATGCTCATCTTGAAGACTTGGCATAGTTGGGGTTTAGCAAAACTAGTCCAAAAGTCAGAGCTGAATTTCTCTTAATATTTAACTACAACCCTACAATCTTCGTCAAAAACTTAAATGTCCAAATCAGGTGGTCAGCGCTTAAGTGTACAGTCAGCTAAGAAATTACCTGTGCTGCGATGATTGCCGTGTAAGGCACACTATTCCTTACACTTCAATTTTCCTCTCCTAGGACATGTGAATGCCTAACTGTACTGCAAAACGATCTTTATATAAGCAATTTTATGTGAGAGGATCTGATAAAGAAACAAGAGGCTTTCTAAATCAATGGCACATTTTAAAGATTTCAAATACAAAAATCAGGAAAGGTCCATAGGAGGCCTTCTCCAAAAAGACACAGCCTAACAACCAAAAGTAACTCACTGGTGGCCTTGGCTGAGCTAAAATTTAATCGGAGACATTTAAGTGTGTGCTGTTTTTTCAAAGCAGTGTCAAATGTATAAGAGAAATAATTAAGGAATAATTTTAAGAATTCCTAAAGCATTTTTTAAAACATGGCCCTAGACCCCCAGGTCTCCATCTCAGTCCCCAAACGGCTTTCACACACAAGGATAAGCCAGACTGGGGGAAGGCTGCTAGGAGGCGTGGCCCAGGGAAGAGAAGCCTTTCTCTAACCCCTGTTCCTGAGGACACAGCTCAGGAGCTGAGTTCAGAAAGCAGAGTGCGAGAGCCCAGTCATCTGGATTGGTTGACTTCATAGTCAATACGTGCTACGGGCTGCTTAGAGATGAACCAGTGAACACAGAACAACAGATGTCCCTGAGCTCACAGTGTGAGATTTCTAGTTGGGGGAACTAGACATAAAATTCTGGAAGGGCAAGTGACAAAAGGAGGTATAATTAAGTGTACACACAAATCCAAACCAGTAGGAAAACAATAAAATATAAGTAAGATGGGTGCTGAGAATTGTTTTGGTGAGTGCTTAGTCCTGACTTTAGACTCTGCACTGGGAGTCCTGCTGGAGAATGTGAGGCTCAATCTCTCTGTCTCTGTCTCTCTGTCTCTGTCTCTCTGTCTCTCTTTGTGTCTCTCTCACACACACATACCACACACACACACACAGCCACACGCGCACACATGCATATACACCCCGCCTTTTTATTATGACATTTCTTAAGCATCCACAAAGGTCCAGTGACGCACCCCCACTGACCCCAACATCAGTGGTCTTCAATATCTTGGCCACCTCCTTCCATCTATCTCCCTTACCTTCCCTATACTTTCATTTTTTTTTTGCTATTCTTAGAGTATTTTATAGAAAATCCAAGAAAGCACATCATTTCTCCCATAAACACTTAAGCATTTTTAACAAAGACTTTAAAAAATAAACTTAAAAACTGATCTCATTAACACACTTTAAGATGAGTATTCCTTAATAGCATCCAATACCAAAACCGTCCCCAAATTTCCTCTAATTCTTTCAATCATATGTTTTTGCCATTAATTTGGGCAAAAAAAAGTAAGGACGTGGAATTTAAATTGAGACTCCAAATGGCAAATAGGGGCAGGTACAAAACACAGACAGAAAAAGGGCCACCAAAATACAAGGTGGCAAAGGTCCAGCGACATACCAGGAGGGAGCTGTTATTTGGGGAATCGAAAAGCCAATGTGACCCAGCACTGTTCCCAGAAATCTTACCTGCAGGGGAAAAGGTGAGTGGCCTAAAGCCAAGCCAAGGAGTTCTCTGGGGCAAGAGTATGGTCGGTGTTACACATGGCTCAGGGTCAAGGTCAAGGTCACAGAAGTAGGCCTAGACAATAGAGGGCCAAAAGCCGCAGAAAAGGATGTTGCACTTAGACTTGGCAGGAAAAGATGCCCCTTAGGTAAGACTTACTGGAGGAGGTCTCGAGGTTGCATGGGACTTCAGTTCTGTTCTGGGACCACATGTCAAGCCCATAAGTGGTGGTCCCAGCAAATCAAATGAAGAGCAGAGGCAATGGCGGGAACCCAACCCAGAGGGCGCGGGCATGGTGGAATACGGAACAAGCTCTGGTCAAAGGCTTTGCCACTGTGTGGTGTCTTTTTGGTGTTATTGCTACATAGCTGAAAATCCAGAATTTTACATAAGATATCCTAAATTGTTGATATCTAAGGGCTACTATAATTTTACTAAACTCTTCATTCAGGTGAAGACTTGATCTAGCCTTCTGGCCATTGGTTTTCAATCTTTGGTTGTTTAAAATGATGATCGGGACCTTGGGCTAAGGTAGTCTGCCTGGGATTTGAATCCTGTTTTCACCCATTACTAGCTAGCTGTGGAACCTTGGAAATGTTAATGTCTCTGAGCCTCAGAAAGAAAATAAAAAGATAAAAGTCTCTCTTTCAGAGGCCCAATGGTGATCCTCTAAATAACAAGTCCACATGGTAGCCCCTGGAATAAACTAAGAGTCTCAGAATGTGATCACCCTACATTGTCTAAATATGTCCCAAGTCCAATGACAAGAGTCCTTACAAGAGATACACAGAAAAGAAGCTGATGTCAATATGGAGGCAGAGATGGGATCCATGAGTCCACAAGCCAAGGCTTGCTGGTGACCACCAGGGGCAAGAGGGAATAAGGAACAGGTTTTCCTTAGAGAACATCCTCAGCCACGCCTCTGGAGATCCGGGTCTCTGACCTCCAGAAATGTGAGACAATGCATTCCTGCTGCTTTAGGCCACACAGTTTGTGATCACACATTATGAAAGCCACATGTCTTTGGGTAGGAGCAGAAAAAGAGAGAGAATTGAGGAAAATATTGACTCTGCCCATGAATGTTCCATTGATTCATCTGTAGGTAGATATGGCATGGCCATCTGTATTTGTTCATCATAAGAGATAAAAAGCCCTCCTCAAATGTGTTTATCAAAGAGAAGCATTATCTGTTTTATGTCACTGAAAAGTTCAAAGAGTCACTTGCTTCAGGCATGGCTGGATCCAGGTGTTCAAAACCTATCACCAAAGTGTTACCTCTGTTCCCCCTCAGCTATGATTTTTCTTGGGTTGACTTTCAAAAGTCAGTTTCAGAGGACCAATTTTCAACTAATCCTTTGACTGGAGGTTGGAGAATGCTAATTGATCTGCTTGGGTCATATGTCTACATGTGCTATAAGGTCAGTAGGTAGGTGTTTTGGTCTGTGCTTCTATAACAAAATACCTAAGATGAGGTAATTTATAAACAGAAAATTATTCCTCATAGTTCTGGTGGCCAGAAGTCAAGGTGAAGAGGGTAGCCATCTTGGCTCTTGCTAAAGACCCCGTCTCTGTTTCCAAGGTAGCACTTTGTTACTGCATTCACAGGAGAGGGTAAATGCTGGTCTGAGGTAGTTTCTTCCAGCTTTTTTTATAAGATACTTATCCATTCATGAAGGTGGAGCCATTGTTACTTAATCAGAGGGCACCTACTCTTCATTGGTATTAGGAGTGGCATGAATCCCAACACCAATGAGATTAGGTTTCCATACACAAATTTTTCATGCTATGGAAGTAGGGAAGCGACAGTATCAAKAAAAAAGAAAATACTGCCACACAGAATAAAAGGAAAGGAGGGTTGGACGGGCAGGTGATAAACTGCATCCATGCATTCAGAGGGGGCGGAGGTACAGCCACACACACGCAGGACCTGATCATATGAGTGGGTGGCGTGGCGGGTCTGAGGGGGAAATGAGAAGTGACTTATTAAGGGTCCTGGTGAAATTGTTGGTCCTACTGAAAAGGAAAAAAGGTGTGAAATGAGATAGCTTCCTTACACTAAAATGAGAGAGGATTTCAGATGAGTTGAGTACCCAAGATTCATTCTAAGAGCTTTTAAACTTTTATCCAATATAAGGAAAAATATCTTTCTTGCTTTAAGGTAGGAAAGGAATATTTTAAAAGACATAAAGCACTCATCATAAGACATTGCTAAATTTAAGTACATTATCATCAAAAAATCATGTTGGTAAATTTGTATATATAGTCAATAAAGGATCAAAATATAAAATATCAAAATATATTTTAAAACTCTTATGATAAACAAACCAACAGGAAAAGGACGTTATAAATAAGAACCACATGCAACTAATAAACAAAAAAGCTGCTCAACCTCATTAGTAATCAAGGAAATTCAAATCGAGATCCTAATGTGATGTGAAATTATGGTCATATAATGGACAAAAATTTAAATTCTGACCATGCCAAGTGTTGACAAAGRTGTGAAACAGGAAGAACTCAGGCACACTGCTAGCGGGAATGTGAATTGGAATGATCATTGCTGTGACCTCCGTCTCTGTGTGCCCCAAGTTAATCGGTGGCAACCTAACTCCAAGGCCATAGTTTTGGCAGAGAGTCTCTGGGGGCTGGTTAGGTCAAGATGGCAGAGCACTCGCCAATGGAACTCATGCCCTTAATGAAAAGAGCCTTTGGCGAGCTAGCCCCTGTGCCATGCGAGGACACAGTGRAAACTACCATCTGTGGAGCTGACGTGTGACCTGAGCGGAGCCTTCTGATTTGCTACCTCTGTGCTCCACAGGTGGTGACGATTACAGAGGATGAGCCATGGGCTCTGTGTGTCCACACAGGAAGGTGGAGATCAGTGCTGGGGACGGACGTAAGACTGGGGATTACTGCTCCATTGGTGACGTCTGGGAAGAGTCAGATGAAGAGGAGGAGTCCAGGAAGAGACGCCTGTGGACACCCCTGTTCAGGGACACCACGGAGGAAGATGAACCAGTGGACAGGGCCTGCCTGGCCACCAAGGAAGGAGGGCAACCAGAGGAGGGCAGGGCCCTGGGAGCTGAGAAGAGAAAGTCTCTGAAGAAGCTGGTGATTGACTGTGGAGGAAGGTGGGGTCAGAAAAGGTACCACTGGGTCTGGGAGCCCAAGGTCATGGGTGACCTTGAGCAGAGAAGAGCCTCTGCACTTGCCCCCCACCATACTGGCTCAGAGCTTCTCACCTGGGCCCTGGGTGTGTCCCTGCCCCGTCCTCTCCCTGCCTAGCCCACCTGCCCCCAGCAGGTGCTGACCCAGCCAGGGCACTTCCCACTCACCTTCCTTGGTGCCGCTTCCGTGACCACAGGCCCGCAGCCATGCCCAACACCCTCTCTCGMACCTCCCACACCTGATGTCAGTCATTCCAGGTCATTGTCTCTTGAGTCAGGTGGCTGCCACCTGTGCAGGCTTGGCCACTCCGCCCTCCTGACAGCCCTGTCCCTCTCCTTCTTCTGCTTTCCTGATGAGTGGGGGTCTGGGAGCAAGCTGAGCCCCGGAGCCTAATCCTAATTCTATATGAGCCACTTCTGTGGCCTGGATGTTGAAGTGTATGCATTGGAAACTCAATCCCCAGCACGACCATGTAGGGGCCTGCTGGGAGCTGCTAGGGTCCCCAGGGCTCCTCCTCTTGTGTGGATGAATCCCATTATCTAGAGTGTGGCCTGAGACCAGCAGGCCTCTCGTGCTCTCCTATACATGTGTGGCTTGTCCTACTGCCACATTAGGGTGCACCAGAAGAGCTCTCCCCACAGGCGGTGGCCAAGCTCACAGACCGCTAGCTCCTCCTCCAGAACTGTAAGAAACAAATGCTGTTTCTTTATCAAGTCTCAGGCACTCTGTTACAGCAGCTCCTTGTAGGCTAGGACAGCCACTGAATAGCTCAGTGACAGCAGTAAAGGCTTCAGCCGCTTTGGGTGCCAGACTCTTACTCTCTGAAATGAGTTATTTCTATTTGGGTGAGCTTAATATTCTGGAATGTTCTCTGAYTCTAAGGATGGTAGTGTAGGTTTACATTTTGGACATCTACCACCAAACTTGTGGAGAGGCCACTATCCTCTGTTAATTTAACCTGACCTGGCCACTGGCTTAAGGAGAAGGAGGTGGCAGGTGGCCTGTATGTGGGAACTTCTTGGGGTGGGGGGGTGCCATACCTGTGATGGAGCAGCTTCATTTGCATCTGACAGAAAAACTTGCCCRGGATCCAAGACTGGCTAATGGACCTGCACTGAGTTCAACATGGCCAGTTCTGGGTTTCAGATACTGCTGTGGATGGCCAAGGCTTTAGAGGCAGAAAGGGGATTTTATTTTAAACCACTGGTGAAAGCATTCCTCATTTTAAAATGCCTACTGATGACTGGCTTTATTTTTATACCCACCATTTTCCTCGCAAAGAAATTAAACAAATAAACAGATGCCACCCTCTCTCCCKCTCTCTTTTGGCTTAGGTCCTCCGACACTGCAGTGCCTTCTGCACCATCTGCTGGCTCCGCAAAGGTAATTAACAAATGCACACTATTCCCAGACGAGGCTGGTTTTTAAGGACAATCACGCCAGGAAAACAGAGAGGAACAGAGACTGTGGCAGACCTGCTAGGCGTCTGCAGTCCCAGACTCCACTTCAGTGTGTCGTTGGAGATGCTTGTCAAATTGTAACTTCTAAAAATGAATTTGAACGGATTGAAACAAGGAAATGAGATTTCACCTCTAGTGGGAGACCTTAAAGGAGGAGTGAGAAAAATCGCAGGATGTCCAGGAGTGTTGGACTCCCAGCGCTAATTTTTCTGTACTAATTGTCATCTTTGATTTATTGTGGATATTCTAAAGAAGGAGAAATAAAAACAGTCATCAACAAAAGCACGAGATAAAATGTTGTGCCGAGCACTAAATGTTGGGTCACACGCAGGCAAATGCTGCCCTTCCCTGACGGACCTTGGACCTTGAACGTGTCAATCAACCTCTCTGAGCCTCCTTCTCAGACCTGTGAGCTGGGAACAATAGAAATACCAAGCCTTAAACAAGACAATGAATTTGGATCAAGAATCACATGCAGAGACCAGCGAGTACAAAGCCCTTCTTAAGTGCTGGTTGCTGTTAAAGTTGTCTTATCAGGTGAGCATCCGTGACAGATGGCCTAGTCCAGCCTTAGCGGCAGGGAATTAATAACCCTTCTAGCAAGCCCCACGTTCTAAAAAGGGCAGAAGCACTGTAAATAAAGTGAGAGAATAGAAGGGTTGACATTAACAAAAAGAAAGTCAGACCTGGGTTGGGGGGGGGGGGAACGTGTTGGAGACAAAAGATACAATTATAGCCTGTGTGTCTTCAGAATCCATGAACAAGGCCAGTCGGGGCTCACGTGGACGCAGATGAAGGGGTTGGAATAGGAGATATGTTGTCAGAATTTTAAAAGGGGAAAAAATGTCTGAAAGATGGRTTGCAATAAAATTTAAATATGAATGTGCATAAATACAGAACCAACTTCCCGGGAAGGAGGTCTTCCTTTTTTGGCATGTTTAAAGTTAGATAGAACCAAACAGAAGTCAGATCCAGCAATCAGACAGAGGCTCCTAAAAGACAGAGTGTGATGTCTACTGGGGTGACTGTGTGTCTGTGTTCCCTTTGTGACTGATGGCAGAGGTGGGGCTCACGGAACCTGCTTCTGGTGGCCCAGAGACAAACAGCCCTGAGAGTGTCCTTTTAGGAGAGTCGTAGGGCTGCTCAAGGCAAAGTCAGAGGGTTGGCGTTTGTTTTCTGATGGCAACAGAAGATGTCCCTGGTCAGTAAAGTAATCACGTCAACAGTCACGGTCCCTTCCTTGATGGACGGAACGTGATATTTCTAGAGAGAATGAACCTTGGTAAATATCAAATTCACCCATACTTGCCGTGCGTTCCAGATCTCTGACAATGTCAGTGTGCTGCAGGACACCTGGTRGGTTGCCACCAGCTGGCGACAAAAGACCCGGCCATTGTGGTTTATTTAGAGGACTTTCCGTCCTACTCCACAGGCTTCAATATTGACACTCTCCTTGGTGACAGCTGGGAATCCAGGGCCTGATGACCTAAATGTAATCCAATTCTTCCTCCAAATCCAGCTCTGATACCAAATGTGAGCTGTGTTCCCCAAGACCACAACCAAGGACRGAGTTAAAGGACCCTCCCTGTACCCCACCTCGGGTCAGGGACACCCTGGTTTTCTCGTTCACCAGCTCCTCTGCCTCCTAATATAACTAGCAGTTAGAGTAGACAGGAAGTCGCAGGGTGGGTTGGCTCACGGAGCACATGGTGTCTCCGAGGAAATTCCTGTAAGAGGAGACATGAGCAGGATTTCCCCAGAAGGATGAGGGARAAAGCAGAAACCCAGCAGAGACCCAAGGAAGTGGTCATGGTGGGCGCTGACTTCAGTTTCGTGTTCTCAACTGGAGGGGGCAGGGAGGCACGGGAGAAGGTTCCCCAGGAAGGTGGGAGAGGGCTCTGGGTGCACATCAAGGAACTTAGACCTTTCCTTGTGCCCTCGGAAGGCCACTGAAGAGTCTTCAGTAGCACTGACATGATGACATCTGCATTTGAGAAGTCTCACTCCAGCGACCATGGTTGGGGGAGGTTTGAGAATTAACAAGAGAATTGCAGGGAGCCCAGGGCACTGGGGAATTGAGTCATCTGTTGGAAATGGGGGCCCTGGCCTGGGTGGCCACAGTGTGGGTAGCCACAGTGTGGGTGGAGAGAGGCAGGGAGGCAGGAGAGAAGAGTGTGACCAAGATAGGACTAGTTTGCAGAAGGACAGTTTCAAGGTGGGGGACAGGGTTTGAATTCTGACTGGGCCTTCAGTGGTTGGGTGGCCCTGGGCACAGTTCTCTGATGCAATATTGTTTGAATGATTCATGAAGCTGATGCTTTGTACTTAGAAAGTGCCCAAGGCGGCTGCGCGAGTGTTGGGAGGGCTGCTTTTGGTCATTTTCATTGATGTTTGGGATTCCTCTGTTCAAGAGAGAAGTTTCAGGACAGAACCGTTTCTGTTTTACTTCTGCATTCCCAGGGCCGACTGGTGCCCTACACGTTTCTCAAATGGAAACTAATTATTGGATTTAATGAAGTCTACCTTGGAGCGGGACTAGGAGGGGGCAGGTCATCAAGATGGCAAATGGAGGGCCTGGAGGGCGACCTTGCACTTGTCACAAACGCATGCTCACTCCAAAGGTCACACAGAGCACAGGACTCTATGTGCTCCCTGTTTTGCAAAAGGAAACAAGTTCTGAGGGGTGAGGCTATCGTGTGTGGAAGACATTGTCCTGTGGAGCCACTGCAGCCCTGGGGAAGCCCATKGAGGAAGGCCAGGACACAGCCTCTTGGGACAGTGCCTGCCCAGCAGCACTGTATAGTCAAGGGAGCTCTCTTGGCGGAGGTGGCAGTTTTTATAAACAGGACATGACTGCAGTTTGCAGAGCATCCAGACACTGAAATCCTAAAAACACCAGTTATGAGCTACAATTTGCATCTTGAATGTCCCCCAAAGGGCCATGGGTTGAAGTCTTTGTCCAGCAGGTGCTTTGGGGAGGTGGCGGAGCCTGAAGGAGCGTTTCTCTCCCTTTGCCTTGTGGCTGCCACGAAATGAGCTTCTTCCTCCACCACGGGCTCCTGCCGTGGTRTAGTTACTGCCTCACCACACACCCCAAAGCACTGGGGCCAACTGCTTAGGACCTGAAACCTCTAAAGCTATGAGTCCAAACAAACTTTTCCTATTTTTAAGTTGATTTTCTCAATATTTTGTTGTGGTGATGAAAATCTGACTCATACAACACATCGTGGTCCCATACTATCTCCCCCTGCCCACCAAGGTCAGTTCAAATCTAGCCTCATCCATGTCCTTAATCGTGATACAAAGCGCGCTCTCTCTCTCTCTCTCTCTCTCTCTCTCTCTCTCTCTCTTAGCTGAACTTTGTTGTGCATTTAGTAGAGGCCCGGGACTATTTACATGAATAATCTCATCTGATGTGTACCACAACTTTATGAAGTATGTATCATTGTTGCCTATGTCTTATAGTTGTAGAAACTAAGAATTAGGGAGATCCTTCAGAATTGTCTGAAGTCATGAGGCTGAGTAGGAGAGGGTGAATTCCCACCTAGGCACGCTAATGGAGGGTCCACACTGCTGGATGTGAAATGCCTAAGCCCTAAGGCAACACTCTTATGAGACTACCATACCTTATATTATGTGTCCAACTCACCCAGTGCTTACAGAGGCCCTACTACGCATCTTCATGGAACATGAATAAGGAGGGGGCCAGTCCTGTGAGCTCAGAGTCCATTGAGAGGAACACAAACAAATCAATCACACCCAACCCTGCAGGTGCACCAGCTGARCTTGTGGCCAAGTGTGACCCCTGTCCACTCAGCCTGGGGAAGCCAGGGATAGCTTCATGGAGGAGGAGTCACATGTCTCCCCATTTCAAGGCTTTTCATAATTGTCCTTTGTCTGTCAACAACTTTTTCCTCCTCCTCTCGCCCTTTGTGGGGAGGAACTATTCATTAATACCAAGRAAATAAACGGACAGGATTCTGTGGGGATAATGCCCCTGTGAAGTTATACGAAGAGACAGGTGGAAAAGTTAAAATGGGCAGTCTTTAACCTGTGGGGCGGGATTCCTCTGGGAAGAGTCTGAAGGTTTAAGTTGGAAGACCCAACAGTATTGCTGCAGGCTGCAGAAAGAGGGCAGGCAGGGCTCCCCTACGTTCTGATGGAGGTCCCCCCGCCATGCAAAGACAGGGAAGAGGAGGAGGAAGAGGAGAAAGAGGCTTCAGGAGAGAGGGAAACACCTAGCAGCCCTGCCCTGGGCAATTCTGYATGGAGCAGGGACAATGGAGACACTGGTGTGGGTGTTAACAGCCAGACTTTGTAGATTAAAACTGGTGGAGCCCAGGTGCCTCCCGGACACCCCGGATGTAAGTAAAGGCACAGAACACGTCATGCTAGTMGGGAGCCCTGCTCCTCTTTCTCCTCTATACACTCACAGATCTGTGCTTGCTCATGCTCCTAAGTACATTCTGAATGATGCTAATCGCAGTCACACCTTCTCTCCAACACCCCTGTTTCTTCTCCCTGGTGGTCTAGACTCCCAATTCTAACCCCACACAGCACMCACCCACCACACAAGGGGTCACCCCTGCACCCCCAGCCCTCTGTGGTGACTCTGCCCTTCACTTTTCAAGTTTGAATCTTGAAAGCTCCAACCCTGGGGTTGTTCCCCACGTCGTTCCTGGTCCCATGCTTTTCTCTAGTGACATCGTGGTGCTCCGAGTTGGGAGCAGGATGGACGTCCTTTTTGGTTGGGCTGGTGGACAGAGCATGGAGTTGGTGTCAGAAAAGTCTCRGTGTGATCCCAGCTCAGTCACTTAYTGGCAGGGAAACCTGGGAGAGTGTCAATCTCTCTGAGCAGAGATTCTCCTTCCAGGGTTTTCTGAGGCTTCTCAYGGGAGCTGTGCAGGTTACCACCATGTACCCACCTTCTGATAAAGGGGGCCCAGAGGTGACATCAGCACCCTGTGGCTGATGAAAAGGGCCCCCACTGGGGCTTCATTTACCTGGGAAGGAGAGGGAAGGTGGGCAGCTATAGGGACTCCAGGCCCTTCCAGGCGAACACACCAGTATAAACCCGATGGGCTCTTTCACTTGGGGAAATAAAGGTTCTCTTTAGGCTGCACCTCTCCCTCTGCATCTGCTTGAGAACAAGAGGTCCTCTGCTCCCCACCCCGAGCCTCTTCCTCCCTGTCCTCTTCCCCATCCGCTAATTAAGCCTGCTGAGAAGCAACAGCGCTCTTGTAGGCAAAGGGCTGTTGAAATGTTGGCTGTGGGGAAATCCCAGGTGGAGGCGCCCATCCTGGAAGACTTTCCCAGCCGAACACAGACAGGTGACATAGGATGTTTGGCCAGCCCTGAGGGGTGCTCGGGGCTCACTTGAACTTGGAAGGTAAAGTAGAACAGAAAAGGAGAGTTTGAGAAGCATGGAGGACAGCATGGCCCAGCACCACAGGTGGAGGCTTATCTTGAAGTCAGATGAGGTGGGCCTGGGGGATGTGCACCCCCACCCACGGCCTCTCTAGAGCCACCTTCAACGT